TTTCCCATGTTTCAGCAAAGTATAGTTATTTCATCATCAAGAATAAGGTAAGTGGGGGACAGTAGCTCAGTACAGCACTTGCCCTGCATACATAAGGCCCTTGGTTTGATTCCCACCTCCACCCCCACCCAAAAAAAAGAACTTGGGACAAGAAACTGTATCAATGCACAAAATAACAACATTAAGCAATTCTTACTAACTGGCCCAAGCTCTCCATAGAAACAAAACCTCTTCTACATTATTTATTCTAAAACTTTTGGAAATAATGAAGGATTTCCTATTTTTTCCTCATCTCCCAGAAAAATGTTCATGTTTGTGCATCTGAAAAACAAAAACAAAAACCCAGTTCTTTAAGACAATTAAAACTATCTGGATACAAATCCATTTGAAAATTGGGTGGCTTTCAAATCCCTGTATACACAACAGGGATAAAACAGAACACAATTCATAAGACTATAAGATGCCAGAAGCAGCGTTACGGCTTAACAAAAGTTCGCTATTATACAAACACAAGTGGATGTAGCAGCAGTGCAGAGAGGATACCCACACAGAAGACAAGATTCAGAGGCCGGTGGACTCAGGCTCCAACCCAACAACCACTAACTGGGTGTACAAACTTGAGTCTCACCTTTCTGAGTCCCAGTTTCCTAGGTAGTGTGGTCAGTGGGCGGACTCAAATTTTACCAAGTTTACCAAGTCCCTACACATTTACGAAGAGCTCAGTAAATTGTGGTTTATTATTATTGCTACTGTGAAAAGGCTCCATTGTCAGAGGATAAACAGATATTCCCTGTCACAGTAGGCTATTCCTTTGCCTCAAAGGCATCTGTTATTTGCATTTCTTTTTATTCTGACAAATATCACCCACTCCTTGCTTTTGCAATCTTTCTTTCTTTTTTTTTTTCTTGCTGGCAATCAAATCAAACTCAACTTTTCTTATAAACATGTTACCTTTCACAAGAAGCAAATAGCTAATAAATAAGAATTAATTTATCATTTCCTTAATGAAATACTTTCTATTATACGTATAATCTTTTCCCTGTTTAAATGACCCTAGAAAACTTAGTTAATGGGTGAAAAACAGCAAAAATTCATCTTTCAGATTATCATGGAATTTGGCTGGAACCCAATAGTAGTGAGGCCTAAAATGGACTTTTATTAGGAAATTAGTGCTAATTACTCTGTGACTAGCTGTAGGCTGGTTTGGTTTTAGTGTTCAATGACCTGAATTGACCACTGCTTCTTTGGCCTGTAAGAAAAGGTGAGTTCTCTGAAGATATAAAGTGAACACGGAGGATTAGGCTTATTCTGTACAGACTTGTCTAATGGGGCTAGGTGGAGATTTGCAAGGGGAAGAGGAAGTGAAGAGGGATAAGGTATATGCAGGGGAGTTGGGCACCTTCTAGCAATGGCAGGACACATTGGTTGTCACCTTAAGAAGCCCATGGCTGCTCCTAGAATCACTGATTAGAGGAAGAACTTGTAGGTCTTAAATTTTGTTCCAACATTCATAATTCTTCCCAAGTGAAGACTGGAAGAGATTTTCCTGATTTATCCTGCCTAGTTCATTCTTTCCTATATTTCCCCTTCCACACTAAGACCACTCATGATTCTGTTACCTAGCACAGAGCACAGGTCAGGGCATCTCCTCATGAATATCAGTCAGAAGTACCACCTGAAACCCAGATGGAGGCCTCCCTATTCATCTAAACCCCAACGCCAAGGTTTTAGGAGTAAGATACTCACACACTACTTTTTTTTTTTCTATAATATATTGCTATAATTTTTTAAATTTCTTTTATTCATATGTGCATACAATGCTTGGGTCATTTCTCCCCTTTTTCCCCCTCCCCCTCCCTTTCCCACCTCCCCCCCTTCCGCTCCCCCCCTGACCCCCTCAGTACCCGGCAGAAACTATTTTGCCCTTATCTCTAATTTTGTTGAAGAGAGTATATAAGCAATAATAGGAAGGACCAAGGGTTTTTGCTAGTTGAGATAAGGGTAGCTATACAGGGAGTTTACTCGTATTGCTTTCCTATACCCACACACCACTTTTTAATTTGATTCCATTGAAACACCCAGGCTTGCCAAACTGACTTAGCAGGACTCTTCGCTAAAACTGAATTATGCAAGGAATTGCACAGACAGGCCTGGAAGAAGACTCAGGATTAAAGATTGACCAAACATTATCTTTGTCATTTGGCAAGGATGCCAAAGTAAGTATTCTAGTACCATGCCCCTTTTCTTCCTATTTTAATGTGTAATTCTGAAGCTGCCTAATGGGATGAAGAAAAATCTTCCTAACACAAGGCATTTCGCTGCCTTAGAATTGTTTTCTTTTTTCAATGCTAGCTAAGAATGTACATAAGCTCTTTCAGAAAGTCCCCTAGTACCAAGCTACAGCAAAGGTCATGATAGTCAGAAGAGCATGCAGCAGGACTCAGTCATAGCAAAAACCAGACATGGATCAACCAACAGACCTAAAAATCATTTGTGGTTTTTTTTTTCAGATTCACAGGGTTGAGAAGCTCTTTGACATTTGAAAAACCAAGATTAATAACCCTAGAGTCCACTCATCTGTGACTTGCACCCTTTTCCTTGCAAAATTCACATAAAAGGCCCACACTTAAGGTTGATCATAAAGGTGTTTGATCACCATCTTCCAATCTGACTTATTATTAATTAAGTTGTTCCTTCTGTAACTCTGTCTCCTAAGTCATTGAATTTATCAGGCAGCTGCAGTATGGGACTTTTTTCTGGGTTGCAATTCTATGTTAGGGTAGTGAAGTGGGTGTCATTCCCCACTCACTGGATCCCATCAAGAAGGAAGGAATTTTATCTGTTTTGTTCACTATTTTGTTCCAAGTAACTAGTGCGATGTTGGAGATACTCAGTTGGTGTTTTGAGAAAAATGGAGAGAAGGTGGTGAAAAACAAACATGGAAGCTGCTAGAATCAAAATCACTTATATCAACCCTAATCAAAAAATAATCAAATAAAGCCAGGAAGTTATGAAGGAAGGGTCCTTTTTAAAAATTTATTAGCATATTACAGTTGTACTGGGGGGTACCATGTGGAATTTACAAAAGTGCTAACAAAATATTTTAGATTCACCTCCTCCATTTTCCTCCCTTATATCTCTTCTCTCTTCCCCCAGCCCCTTTTAGAACAGTTTCAAGTCTCATTGTTCCATTTTCACACATGAATACATCATACTTCCACCATATTTGCCCTCTTTCACGCTTTCTTTATGCCCTCCCAACCTCCCATTGTACAAATCCCAACAGAAGACTTGTATTACCTTCATGTCCTTCTTTTTTTTAAGGCATTTTTGTTTGTTTATGATAGTTATACAGGGAATTGTTTTTGTGGTACTGGGGTTTGACTTCATGCTTGCAAGGCAGGCACTCTACCACTTGAGCCACTCCACCAGCCCACACAGGGGATTTCATTGTGACATTTCCACGTACCCATATGTATTGTGTCCCAAATTGGTTCATCCTTTCATTGTTCTTTCTACCTTAGTCCTCTCATTATGGCAATTCCCACATTTTGAATGTTCCATACACATAATTGTATAGAAAGTACATCAAACATATTCACCTTCTTTACTTACTTCATTTACTGTCCTCCTCTCATTAGTGCCCTCTACTTGGCTTGACCTGTTTTACACTCTTGTCCTTCATTGTTTAGGCACCTGCTCCTTGTTTAGTGGGGTTCTTGCCTTGGTATTTTACCTGTAAATGTACTGTGCTTAAATCAATCTAACCCCTCTCCACTGCAATTCCTCACTGTTCCCCCAATCCTGTGTTGTCCAACAGTTTTTAGTGTGTTTTGTTGTGTCTTGTTCTATACAGATGTGGTACATTTCATTATTGTTGAATAACATAATTATTGTCCACTTTCCTTCTTTTCCTCCTCCCTTAGTGTCCTTCTCAGTCCCACTTTTGGATATATGTTCTGTATATATTGATATGTGTATCTGGTATTGCTTGTATTTGTACTGGGCCTCTATTCCACACATGAGAATGTGTGCCCTTTGGCTTTCTGAACCTGGTTAACGTAACTTAAGATCGTGTTCTCCAGTTCCATCAAATTATCTGCAAACAAAACTTCATTCTTCTTTATGGCTAAATAAAAGTCATTGTATATAAATACCAAACTTTCTTCACCCATTCACCAGTTGTGAGGCATCTTGACTGTTTCCATAGTTCCACTATTGTGAATAATGCTGTAATAAACATGGGCATGCAGGGAAGGAAGAGTTTTATGCAAACGATTTCCCTGGTAATGACTATAACTAATAAGATTCTGCCAGACTACAACCTTGCACAGAGGTCACTGGGACATCCCAAAGGAACTTGTCCAGGACACCTGCCCAGCAACTGTCTGTGAAGCTGCAAGCCTCCAGATACCTGTGCAATGTGTCCTGTAACTGTGACCACATTCTGTAGGGAGTTGGAGTGACAAACTCTGTAAGTATTTAATCCAGCTCCTGACAGAGATCAGGTCTCAGGGCTTTGAGAAATTATCTCCCCTGAGTCCATAACCGTAATAAACGCCATGCTTCTCGTAAAAATGGTTTCGGTGACTGTTTCCCTCGCCGTTTCCCGCAACAGTAAAATGGAGCTAGTGCACAAAGGAAGACTAAATGAAATATTTCCCGCGTGACGCTAGGAAGAACGTTCTGCCCGGTCAGCTCTCAAAATTAATAACTATTTTGATATTTACCACTATTGTAATTATCTGATAGGGAACGAACTGCCGTAGCACCCGGTCCAAGGCGCCCGCCCTTCTTAACGCTCGCCGTTCGCCCATTGGCCGAGAGTGAGTAGCATTTCCACCAATCCGCTTGGCGTGAGAGAGAGCGAGGACAAAGGGCCGAGCCAATGGGCGCAGGGCTTACGGTCTCCTGGATACGGGAGTAAATATTGGAGGCTTAAGGCGCCCAACCGTCTGGGCGGCGGAGTCACAGGTACTCTCGGCGCCTGCTCGGGCTTTTGCTGCCCACCGCCCGGCTGAAAGAAACACTGCGCGCATGGCGCACGACCGAGAGCGAGACGGGGCTGCCTACCACGCCGGCGGCGCGGCCCTGACCGTGAGGTGCGGCGTCGACTGCCCCGCGCTGGACTCGGGTCTGGCGGAAACTCGGGGCCTTCGTGTGCTCCTAACGCTCTGCTTCCTCCGGTTCCGCAGCCCGCTCCCCTACGCCGCTCTTCGCCACCCGAGCCCCCACCCCCACCCCCAGCAGATTCCCTCCCTGTATGGCTTCTTCCGTCTGATCCCTCCCTTATTCAGTGTTGCGACCCCAACCCTCGCTCGCTTACCCAGTATTCCCCTCTTCCACCTTTCATCTGTGCCTTCTCTTTCTGGCTCAGTCTACCTGCCCGTCACATCCAGGGACAACCTCATCCCATCCTTGTCTGATGATTTCTCCCAAAATTGGGACGTCAGTCCCTCCCTTCTAACTCCCATCCAGGCGCTTTGGGTTTATTTGCAGTTGTAGTGGACTTGGAAAAGCATAAGGCGCTTGCTGCGCAGATGTAAGTGGTATTTCATACCTTCCACAGTCAAGGGTATTACCCAGCTCCATTTCATAAGCATCCTCTGCCAGCCCAGCTGTACTCTTCCATCTCTTGGGGTACTCAACAAACCAGTGTCCTTAAACTGGTCTTCACCGTCTTCAAGCATATCTTTAATAGTTAAATAAAAATAGAAAATCCCTTATCTCCGACTCTCCTTCCTTCCAGTATACATCTACCACACACTTCTTATGTTCCTTTTATTCTGTCCTTTTCATTTTGTGGATTTCATTTCTTCTGTCTGTATTTTTAGTCTAAAATATAGCCACATACTCTTCATCTTGGTAAAGAAGCAGTTTTCCTATTCGGCCTAATTCCATAAAGCATGCTAGCCTACTCGAAGTTATTTTGTAAAGTTTACTTTTAAAGAGAAACTAATTATAAAAGAAAGACCCTGGATGACCCTGTTTCCTATTAGAATCAAGCTCTTTTCCCTCTGTTTTCATTTTGTTAAGTATAGGAGACCTCAGAAATCCTTCTGAGACTTTCTTAGGTTTGGTCAGAATTTTCTTTCCCGGAAGAGTTCTCTGAAGAAGGATCTGGAGACCTATGGAACTTGAGCTACATTTAAATTTCTATGGTCCATTGTCTAGAGAGCCCATTGATGGGGAGAGATTATTTCGGGCAGAAAGGGAGTGAAAACAGTATATGTGTGTTTCAAAGATGTTGATGATCTTCTGTCTTTGTTAGACAAAAGAAGGAAAACTTATTTGAAATGTATTATATTGATGATGGCATATCTTTTCCCAAAGATGGGCGCAAGGATTCCCAAAACAGAATGTTCATTTTGTCAATGAGGACACCATTTGCTATGCTTCTGGAAATTATGTAATATTTATTAATATTGAAACCAAGAAAAAGACTCTACTCCAGTGTGTTAATGGAATTGTGGGCGTCGTGGCAACTAACGTCCCTTATGAAGTTGTGGCTTTTTCTGACCGAAGATTAAGACCCCTTATCCATATATACAGCTTTCCTGAATTGACCAGAAGGAACACATTAAAAGGTATCCTTGGGGACCTTTCCTATGCCCATAACTGAAAGATTTTGTTATAAGATATACCCATGTTTAGTTCTTATAAATGAAGGTGGTTTGTATTTTGATTTGTTTTTATTTTAAATAGAAGAAATCAAACTGATCACTAAAGGTTTAATTAAGTAGGTTAGAGCTTTGCTACTCAAAGTGTGGTCTGCTTTCCGTCAACATTGATGCTAGTTGAAGCTATTTAAAAATGCAAAAATTGAGCCAGGCATGACAGTACACACCTATGATCTACCAACTCTGATTGAGGCAGGGGACTCATTTGAGACCAACTTGGGCAACATGGAGAGTCCCCTACCCCCAAAACAAAGCAGAGCAGGGAAGACACTGGCACCCACCCCAGATGTACTGAATCAGTACCTGCATTTTAACAAGACTTTCCTGGTGATTCACAAGTATATTAAACTCTAAAAAACATTGAGTGAGAAGACTGACCTGATCTTTTCTGAAAAAATGGGATTTTTTTCCTAATGCTTTATAGAAAAAATCAGGTGAACTAATGTTTATATAACTTACAAAGACAAGTCTGAGCCTCCCTTTTCCTACCAATGAAATGATGAAAAAGATAGTCTACTATTAAAATTGTGCCAAAGACAGATGTGTACACTTGTGTGCATATGCTAAATACTCAAAGTTTGTTACTTGTTTGAATTATTAGTTACCTATTCATAGGTACAGCTGACTCAGAACAAGCTGCTGTACATATCCTAGAGCCTCCCTCTAACAATTCCCTCATTTAACACAGATAGAGAGAAAGCTCACGCTTGAGGCTGGTCTTAGTTTTGGAGCTTTTGAGTCAAATAAATGTTTGGTTGAAGTCAGGGCACATATTTATAAAATTTAATTTGGAAGACAACTTTTAAAACAATCATGAACATATTGGGAGAAATGTCTATGTGGACTTCATCCCTCATCTTTAAAATTTCCCTAGCTTAGTTATTAAGCTGTAGCTCTGTGCAAGCAATGGGAAGTTAATTTAAACCTCTAGCCAACATTCATATTGAATAATGAAACCTTAAAAGACTTCACAATAAATTAGTAATATGTCCTCGACAGCATCTGTTATTATCACTAGTATTATAATGTCAACCTGGAATTTGTAGCCAATCAGACAAAATATAAAACTGAAAAAAATATGACTATGGGAAAGGAAATTGTGAGTAGTACAACAACATAATAGGGTGAATAAAAGAATGCTCAGTAAGATGCTGGCTTCAAAATAAATACCCATGCAAGTAGAAGATAAAATACTTAGAAATAACCCAAAGACATATGAGCAACCTAGATAAAGAAAATGACAAAAACCACTGACTTAAAGTGTTTAACTCCATACAGACAAATTTCCAGATGTAAAATCCTTGTTATTACAAATAAATACATTTCTAATATTTATCATAGAAGATAATTCATAGCTTAATCATGTTTTCAAGATCAAGAAATACCTATATGTTTCCAAAGTTCATCTGTGAAAAAAGAAAGTACAATTTGAGTACGACTTGAAAGGGTGTGGTGGCAAGGCAAAGGGTCTTTGTAACATCGTGGTGCTTTAGGGATTAAGAGTGTGGATTTGGTGCGAGGACCACAAATCAGAGAAGGAGTTGAAGAAGACAGAATCTAGAAAAGCTAAGTGTATGACGAAAGAAAGTTTCATATCTCAAAAAGGATATGAATTATTCAACAATGATGTTAAGAAAACTGAATAGTTGAAGAAAGTGTCAAATTAGATACTCATAATATATCAAAATGCATCACATCAGAATAAGCACTCAGTATAAACAAATCCATTTGAAAAATAGAAGAAAATGAGTAGATATTTTGAAAATAAGATTTTAGGATTTTTGTGGTTTTCCGACACAAAAAGATTTGAAATATTTAATTACATACAAATTTAAAACTTATGAGCATCAAAAATAAAGCAATTAGAAGCACAAGAAAGATAGGAAAGGAATTGGCTCAAACAAATCACAAAATTATTAGTGACCAAATGTATTTAAAAAGTCCCATCTCAATATTCATTTTAAAAAGTGTGGTTGACACTGAGGTGTGATTTTCCCATCTATCAACATCACAACATTTTCAAGATTATGATTGCTAGACAGAATGCAATGAAATGGGTAGCATTCTGGTTTGCTGAAAGTAGAAGTATAAACTTAACATCTTTCTGGAAGTATATATGCCAATTATGATAAGTAGAATTCAGTTTTAAGGAAATATGGTTGAAGATTTATGCACAAAGAAGTTAACAGCGCTATCATAACAGCAAAAGATGGAAAAACAGTCTATATCCCCAGTATTGTGGATATGGTCAAATAAGTTAAACAGTCTCTAAAGGGTATTATTGCAAACATTTAAAATCACTTTTTAAAGAAATATTGAAAAATTGATTTTAAAAAACTTTGATGTAATTAAACAAAAAACCAGTATGAGTCAACACTATATGTGGGCCCAAATTCCATTTTTAAAAATGGAATATTTACTACATATGACAATCGCTAGCTAATAAAAAGCAAAGTTGCCTTTATTGTATTTTTATAAGTAAACACACAGAAGAATATACAGAAAGAAGTTTGCCAAATTTGGTAGTAAAATCACAGAGGATATAAATTTCTCCCTATACTTTTGGTATTTTTTTCAGAAAACATATTTTTAAATTCAATGAATAAATAAATAATGTTTATAATAGCAACAATAATATATAGTATTCTCTAATAGTTATACTGTTGGATATAAAATTATATAATACTAATAAAAATATTCAGTCATCTATTATGTTGTAGAAATATCTATTTAGCAATCGTAGAAAATCATTAAGGTCTCATTCTTCAGAAAAATTATTCTTACTTGTGCATTGAATACTCAATGCATGTTTTCTTTGCTGATTAAGCTATGCTAAATAAAGTCAATAAATGGCAAAATCACAATTTGGGGTTATATTATGGTGAATTAAAATAACAAAAATGAAAAAGCAGGAAACAGCCATTAAATATACACAGAGCAAGCAAAAGAGACTTTAATATAAATATAAAGGATGACCTTGAAAAAGGAAAAGGTAGGCCTGTGAAACCACGTTGAAGAACAGTTAAAAGGGAGGGAAATCAAACCCCCATGTCCTGGGAAGCAGAGATGGACCCTTCCCCATGACGTACATTTTAAACATGTTGCTAAGACTTTTAAAGTTATGTTGCATTCCTCTTCTAGAGATACAAATGGCAATAGAACTTCTCATAGTTGTTCCAAGAACTGTAAGATACTAAGTGAGGGGCCAGATATGACCTAAGGATACAATAAGGAAATAAGCTAGAATTATTACAACTTCCCAAGGTACTTGAAGTTTGAATAACTGTTCTAATTGCAATGTTGTATATTTATGAGATATCTTCTATTTCTAGGGTCTTTTCAAATCATGTGAGGACATTTATGGTGCAATATTCTCAGTGTTGCATTGAAGTCTAGAGACGTGACTAATGGTCTTAATTTGCTCTAGTATCTTTTTAAAATAGATCTCAACTTTGCTCTTAGCTTCCTGTGCATAGTCTTACAAGTCAACCAGGAGAACTCTTAACTCCAAATGGTCCAATGCTTTAGAATATCTGAAAATTACTAGAAAAGGAAAAAAACTGTAGGACCATAGTTAATCTGAATTTGATAACCAAATCCTTGTAATGGATTTTATATTTTAGGCAACGTTCTTCTGGACTACACTCTACTTTCATTCAGTTACTGTGGCACCTACCTGGCTAGTTGCTCCTCTCTCCCAGAATTTGAACTGGCCCTCTGGTAAGTTTTAGCAACCTGCAGCTTTCCTTTCACTGGGTTACAATTGAATCTTGTCCTGGATTTTATCAAAGGAAATACACGTGAAAATCTGAAACAAGGAAAAAAGGAAGGAATAAAACGCCTATTCATAATTTTTATAAAGTTGTTATGTTTAGGCATGGAATTTGGCAGGGCAAAAACTACTTGAGATAATCGTTCCTTTATTAATGTGCTGCAGTATTTCTCTTGTCAAGTAAAGAATACAATTAAAGTTTCATCTTCTCTGAAAATGAATGGTTCTTTTGAGTTGTTAGCAAGCTTTCTTCTCATGGTGAGCTTAAGATGGTCTCTGTCTTAGAGTTTTCAGAGACTTTAGAACAATGTGTCTGAAGAGTGGGACGTTTACCACACTCTGCAACTTTATAGGAAGTACCTGTGGATTAGACACAGCTTGGGTCTGTGCTGGCTCCATTCACGTGCCCAACTTCACGACTGCATTCACTCTGCCATAAACTCTTCAGGTGAAATTTATCTTAATAAGGAAAGTAAAAAGCAAATTCTAGGAATCGTTGAGGACATTCCTTAAATGACAGCATTTCTTACATAAAAATGGAAGACTCTAGGTTCACAGAGTCATATTCATCTTATGTACAGTTTTTTAAAATAACTTGAATGAAGGGCTGGAGATGTAGCTCAGTGGTAAAGTTCTTGCCTAGCATACTCAGGGTCCTGGGTCGGATACCTGGCACCATACACACAAAAACCCAAACAAAAAAAAGTTTTATTGAAATATATTTGACATAGAAACTCCTGCTATGTAAAGCATATAATGTAAATTTTGACTTAAGTACACCCGCACGAAGCCACCATCATGATTAATATAATGACCTATCTCCCCCAAAATTTCCTTGTGCCCCTTGAGACCCTCTTTATTGGCCCTTGCCACACATACTCTTACCCTATCCCTGCCCTGTCCCCAGGAATCATGGGTGTGTTTCTATCACTCAAGTTTGCTTTTTATTGTTGTTTTGGTGGTACCAGGGCTTGAACTCGAGGCCTACACCTTGAGCCACTCCACCAGCCCATTTTGTGTTAGGTATTTTCTAGATAGGGTCTTGTGAACTGTTTGCCTGGGCTGGCTTCAAACCATGATCCCCCTGGTCTCTGCTTCCTAAGTAGCTAGGATTATAGGCATGAGCCACCAGCACCTGGTTCAAGTTTGCTTTTTCTAGGATTTCATATGCAGGGAGTCATACAATGTGTGTTCTATTCTGTCGGCCTTCTTCCATGCAGCTTGTTTTAGCATTTGCTTATGCTGCTCTATGTATCAATAGTCATTCCTTTCTAGTTCAAGGTGTGGGTATACTATACTGTGTTTATTAGTGACCTGTTGATGGATGCCCGTCACTGCATGGATGTACAAACAAACCTAGGGGAATGAATGAGGTATAAAGGAGATACAGGAGATGGATGGTAGGGCTGCAATACTACAAATTGAGTGACTTAACCAACAGAGATGTATCCCCTCACAATTCTGAATGCACAGGAGAGGAAGCACCGGGGAGAGAAGGCAGGTGCATAAGTTCTGAGGGCTCCAGATGTAGAAGATGCCTTTCCTAAGGGCAACATGTGACTACTAAACACAGAACTGAAATGGAATGGGCACTAACAATTCAGTCTAACAGACTTAGGCTGAATCCTGGCCCCGTGATCTTGGGGGAGGCTCAGTTTCCTCCACTGTAAAATTGACATCTTAATATCTCAAGTATGGTTTTAATAAGAATTCATTGAGTTAAAGTATGCACAATACCAAACAAGGCCTTTTGCATATTTATTATTTATTTAACTCGGTTTCAAAAATGATGACCTTTGGCTCAGAATGTGTTTTGTTTGTTTTCTAAATTGGGAAATGTTAGAGAAAAAAATTTTCTCTTTGGCCTCTGTCAAACACAAGCAGCGCTAGACTTGTGTTCCCATAGGACAACAGTCTGGTGTGGGCTAGTAAGTGTGACTGCTCCTTCTGAAAGCCCACAGTGGCTCCACCATCTCAAACAGGGGTCAGTGAACTGTGGCCCATTAGCTAGCTCTGTCCCACCTCTTGTCTTTGTAAATAAAGTTTTGTGGGAACATTGCTGTGCTTATTTATTTAAATACGTCTATGGCTACTTTCACTCTATAACATCAGAGATAAGTTGTTCTGATAGGAACAGTATATGAACTGCAAAGCTAAAAATATTTATTGTCTGGCCCTTTATAGAAAGTGTTTGCCATCCCTTAACCTGCAAGTGTACATTGATGACATTTAATTTATTGAAATTAGCTTTCTGGACCCTGTCGGCATTAAAGTTTCCTCACTGGCTTTAATTTATGAAGCAAATCTTTATCCCCTGATTTCTTCTGGATAGAATATGTCTCTCTTCTGAGGCATCTTACAGCATAGTGTGGAAGCCTGAGACTTCTGTAACTAAGCAGGGTGGAACTGAGTAAGGCCAGATTGTATCTCTTCTATACCTCATTCATTCCCTATATTTATTTGTATATCTTATACTTATGAACACTTCTATTAGGAAGTCTGAGTTGGAGGAGAGAAACAAAGGGCAATGGAGAGGAGAGTGAGGGAAGGATCAGAATTACTTTTGTGTAAGGAGAGTCTCCATGAGGTTCTGCACCCGCAGAGGTGCCCTGGGGCCTCATGAATGAGTGTGAACAGATGGGAGACAGAGCCTTCTCCAAGCTTCTGGTCTGGCACCTTAGCTTTTGGAAGCTATGAGAGCAGCCCCCATGGCACTCTTGGGTGCAAAATAGAAAATATAAGTGGGAATTAGTCCTGTCATGGTGGTCAACTACCTGAGGCTTCACTAAGTGGCTCTGCTGGTAGCAGGGCAGGACAAAGGGGATCTTGAAGATGAACAGGGAGGAATATGAAACCTGATGACAGCTCCTAGCCTGTGGGCCCCAGGCTGCAGACCGTTAGTTTGACTTCAGGAAGTCAGACTAGCAAGAGCTCAATGATGGATTCAACTCCTAGAAGGAAATATGTCTAAGAAAACTTTACTTTCGTGTTCTCATGTTTAAAGAGAGCAAAATGGATTCATGCATCTTTCGTGTAAGTAAAAATAACAGTTTTGAAGAAAACATTTTAATGTAAAATGAGGGTAGTCTCAGCTGGTAGTCCCAGGCTGGGCAAAGGGAATAAGGCTGGCTAACTGCCATGCTCACCACCACCACCACTTGCATCAGAGAAAAGTTTACTGAGATTGCAAATGAGTCAGCACATTTACTCTCCACAAAACAAAAACAAACAAACAAAAAATGGTCTCATTTTAAAGACAGAAATTTTTAGAGCGATTATATATTAAAGCAGAATTTTCAAACAAACAGGTTGTGGAGACACAGGGGTACCTATGAGAAAGAAATTGTTCTTGTTCCAATCCACTCATGAGCCTATAACAAACACTGATTAGGTATCTTATACACATAATTTTTCATGATTCTGGAAAGTGGGAACTTCAAAATCAAGACACTTGCAGCTTCAGTGTCTGGTGATGGTGTGCTTCCCAATTCATAAATGGCACCTTCTCCCTGTGTCCACACATGGTGGAAGGGACCAACTAGCTTCTGTAAGGGAAATGACCCCTTCATTACCCTGTGTTCATTACCTAATCTCTCCCCAGAGGCCCCACATAAAAACTGCATGTATGTGTGTGTATATGTGTGTGTGTGTAGGGGTGGGGATGGACAAAACACTCAGGATACATCAGTCATGCACACACATGGCTAAACGGAATTTCTAGTTTGTATACAATAATGGTTAACTTTCCAGAAGTCGCAATACCACAGCACCTTAAACTGAGCTATTCAGCTTGGCAAAACAATCACAGCAGCACATCTGTTCCATAGTTAAACTCTAACCTGAAAAGTGATGCTGGCCTTTATTACTTGGAGGGTGCTAATGAGTACAGTATGACAATATTACACTTTCTGGGAGTGTCACATAGATAGGGCTCAAAGCAAGGGACAAAGTTCATTTTTTGTTCAAGGAAGCTAATTGGAAAATGCCTTTCAATGTACTATGAGAAACTGAGCTAACACATTTTTTCTTTTCTTCTCAGTTTGATTTTTGGTTTTGTTGCTCTTATGAGCTACTTGCCTAAGTTTATAGAGCTGGTGAGTTGCTGAGTGGGATTCAAACCTGAAGGTTCTGAATTCTTTCATAGATTCCAGTGATCTTATGCACAATGGTAGCATGTAACAGGGCATTTCATCTAGTCTGAATGTGGAGTTGTTGCAGGAGAACTCAGACAAACTGAGAGGGAACCAACACTTTCAGAAGCAAATTTATTAAGCAAGCCAGCAGTAACTCAGCAGTTTTGTGTCCAAAGGCTGAGCCCCAAGAACAAAGAATACTTTCCTTATATACCATTTAGAGCAGGTTACAGAAATGGGGGGTACAGCTTGTCCCATACATAATCACATATTATTTCATTGGCTGTTTAACATCTAGGGCGAGGTGACCCTCCTCTGGTCTCCAGGTAACATTCCCAACTCTGGTTTTCCTTTTTTTTCTGTTGCACTCATTAATCTCTCTTCCCGCTACCTGCCTTCCGGCTACGTTCCCTGCTTTAATTCACAGACCCACTTCTGGGTCAAAAAGCATCATCTTTGATAAAGACCTCAGTACCAGGGGGATTAGGCTGGGTAATATCAGGCACGCTCTTAAGATAAGAAACGTCCCTATTAAGGTCTTGAACCCACCTAGGGTTGAGAACTAGCCCCCGAATAGATCACTGGGGTTCCATCCCTTCCAGGTCTGCACAGGGACAAGGGCAAGCTTTTTCATCTTGTCATTAATCTGTAAACAGCAGTTATTCAGATTTGTTATTATTCCAGGCTATTGTAGGGAAGTTAGCCAGCAGGTGAGGTTGGGGCTCCGTGTGATTGGGAGCCCCTCACCATTAAGTCTCCAGAATAGTGTCATTGACCCAAGCAGATCAAGTCCCCTACCAGGGTAGAGAATTGGC